TTCCTCTAGTCAGAGGATGAAACTTCTTCTCTTTCTGGCTACCATTGCCACTCTTATTTCCATTGTATTGACCATTACCTCGGCCTTGCTGCGATCTTCCTCGTCCAGCATTTCTTCCATTGGATCCTCGTCCAGTATTTTGAAATCGTCCACTCATCCTGAGCAAGTTCCTATTATTTCAAGTCGTAGGAATATATCGACTCCCAATTCAATTCAGTGACGGTTGCATGCGTGGTGCGCGACGGTTATTGTAGTCATGAAATTTGAATCAGGTTTTATTAAAATTATAGTACATTTGCTACATACGCTATATAAACGGGGTGGGACCCCCAAATAATCTGACACCCCGGACAATCTCCCTCAAAACTCCCTGTCTGTTTTGCGACTGGTTTTCTCCGGAACTGTCTCTTCAAAATATAACCCACTTTTCCTGCTGCACACACACAACTAAACAAAATTACGATCAATTATTCAAAATGTATATGTCTTGCCCTGTTCAAGCCAGAAGACATTTGAATGCAACAAACGCAAAAAGTATAAATCTTTTTATTTACAGCAGTACTGTGCTGTTGCTGCTAGTGCTATGTTTTGATTTTATCTTCCCTTTTGAGCAAAAAGGATGTCATCGTCGTAAAAAAATTCTGATTGTTCCTTCCCATTTGCTTGTGCCTTCTCTGTGCGGCTACCAAAGCTCTCTCGTCCCATACCCACAGGACCTTAGAAAGACGAATTGTCCTTCTTGTGTATGTATGGGATTGCTCCCAAAGCATTCCACTGCTTCTCCTTCTCCCAATCAGAGGCCAGTGCTGCTTCAGCTTTCGTGATGCCCATCTGGTTGACTTTAAATAATAGGACTTCTCTTGTACCCAAAACGCAGAGTGTTTTTGTACGATATCGCATGTACACTGAACAAAAAATATAGATATATGACCCCGATCCACGAAAACCCCCCCCTAGTGACGACGAATTTACTGATTCGCATCACCATTCACGATGGGAAAATGATTGACAGCGAAACGGAAGCTAAAGAAGGTAGCTACGCCGTCTGCAACACCTGCATCATCTACAATACGTGTACCACCAGATCGATTGGTTTTCATTAGCGCAGTCATGCAAGGTCAAGGTCAGAGAAGTGGGGTGAAAGTTATCGAGAAAATGAAACAATCTACTACAGAAGAGGCTCGAAACGGCACGACGAAAGAGTGACAATTGAAAGATTCCCCTTCCCTTCCCTTCCTTTTCCCCAAGGTCTAAGATCTGTTGATTGTTATGTTGGAGAGCTACTATGGTTTCCGTGTTGCGGCGGCAGTTGCTGAAGTTTGGCGAAGACTGCCACTGTGGAGAGAGTGGAATGAATTAAGGAAGAAGAATAACTGTAGGTAATATAATATAGGCTTGGATGTAGGTAATAGGCCAGCTTTGTTACATACTCCCTCAGTATTGTAGTATCGGCACATGGTATTGTTGACAAAGGTGATGTCTCGGATGCCATTTTGATTCCATTTTGCTCCTACGAAAAATTCCACGAGTCGCTTGGTAGAATTTGCGCGCGAACCCGATATTTTCCGCACGTCTTCTGTTTCCGAACCCATCGCGCACCTCTCTGCGCTTGCCCGTTGAGAAATCTTCAATCACATCAATTTTCCCTTTCATCGGCAATGGTGAGCCCGAGGCCAAGGAAAGCATCACCCTCTGGAGGAAAACTCGTGGGTCGCGGACATTCTCTGCATGATGACCGTATCTATATTGTTTGTATGAAGCGATATGGATGCATTTGCCCCTTTCACCTCTGAAATCACTGCTAAAGAACCTCAACAAGGTACGAAAACTACTTTTAGAGAGGTTTCGGGACGTCTACAAAGTCCCAAGGCAACATAGAGCTAGAATGTTCTGCGGAAGTTGCTTATCTTATTATACTAACGGTAATGATACCATTTTATATTCTCTATCTGGGTTCCTACAGGACGATTTTCAACTGAGACCATTGAGCTGCAAATTTGTCGGTCTCAATAAAATTGCACGGCCTGGACCCCATGAGTAGAGAAAGTGGAATCAGAGGTTGTGGCAACCATAGTTGATATATATGTTACGTCGCGAGCGGGACTAATTATGTTGAACATCGTTTTCTGGGCCTCAATCACACAATAATCCACCATGATTGGTTCCGTTGGTTGCTTGGACTGGACGGATAGGTGTCAAGAAGACGTATTTGCAGAGTGCGAATCATATCTACTGTCACCATCAAAACAATACCTACACGGAGACTCGTTTGCAGTGTCGAACTACCAAAATTGACGATTTGGAGCACATCAAGGTGCCATGGTGCAATTGTTCCCCTCGTTTGGACAAGCCAGTGTGGATGCCCAGAGAAGTAAAAAGTGAAGCACATGTTGTGGCAAGCGTATTTGATAGATAGACTATGGCTGGAGCGGCCATTCATACTTCTATTTGCCTCAGCTACACTACAATCTACCTTGTTTCGTTCGACTGGTTCTGTTGGGCTACCAAAACTGGTCGGCAGAAAGTCAAGAGGCCAACGCCTCCCATTCAATATGTGCTGGAAAGCTCGGCAGTGATCCTACCTACTCGGGGATCCATTCGGTTGTGTTTTGTTATAAATACTTGTTGAGATATTGGAATTCCAGTGTTTGGTGCTGTCTGTTCCCCTTTCAGCATAAAGGTCGGATTGGCCGCCCTAGAGACAGCCAACCATTCAACAATACACCAGAGCCTCCCTTGGATGCCTATTGTTCAAATTTTCTGGGACCCAGGCAATGGTTCCGCCTAAATTAAGAATCATGCCGCCCAAACGGGGTCAGAAATCATGGAAATCTGGTCCAAAAAGCCACTTGGTGGTGGTGTGGGCCGAATTTCCTAAAAATGCCTTGTTCCAACACATATTTGTCGTCCATGGGTATGTATGAGAAGATTGCTGGCTTTGGAGTGGACATTTTCTAGGTAAAAGTGATTGAATAGCATTCACACTGCTTTGGGGATCAATTCAGGCTCATGAAAGAATGTGGCTGGAATCCTTCTCAGTAGCCGAGACGATACCCTGACATGATTGCACCAAGTTCAAAGTTGGTCAAAACATATATAGTAATCGAATTTGGGCGGTGGTTTGGAGGGCTATGGCGGAAAAAAGAATCTAGGATGGCATAATTTTTTTCTCTCTTTCCTACTTTTCAATTGACTTTGTGGAATGGCCTGAAATAAGATCGATATACACAAAGATCTCTAATTCAGAGTGGACCAAGTCCTAGGAAATATATATACTTATAATATCGCTTTGAAATTTATCTAAGAATGTAATCGCAACAAGGTGGTATGGTACGAGATCAGTCTCTGGCCTCTTGATTTTTTTTTGCCAATCACACGAGTCAATATCAAGTCAATTGAGTCAAATAGACTAACGGCTGGTTTTTTAGCCGTTACCAGAAAGTTGTTTTCTGCACTGGAGCCCCTCTAACACCTCCTAAGAACTTAAGATTTTTTACAAGGGATGAATAAAGCATTCTCTAGTGCTTTGAAAAGGTTTTAGGTCCGTAGGTGCTTTTTGAAATTTTTGCTTTGTCCCAAAAGTTCCAAATTCCACCCGAATTTTGGGGGGGTATTTCGTGGATCGGGGTCATATTTTTTATTTTTAAAGTGCAATAAATTTTATTAGAAGAAAAATGTAGAAATGTCTAGTGAAATGGACTTCTTTTTCTCGCCAAAAATATGGCATGTTACTTTTCGGCCTAAAAGGGGGTCACATTATGAGATTTGCTTGCATTTTAACCGCCGGAAATGAATCAATACATGCGGCCAAGATGTTCGGTCGTGGATTGTGTCCATGGCAAAAAAAGCAATTACAAAAAGCCGCCTACAGGTATATTTTCTCTTTTATCTCACAAGACACAACATCGGAAAGGCCAGTCATCATGAACAAATTTTGCTTGACGATGGTTCCTCACTTCCTGATCCTGCAGCTCATGATGCTTCTATGGCAATCCGATGCTCAACATCCTTCATATTTGTGGATCGATGACGATGGCTGTGTTGTAGTCACAGCAAAGAAGGAAGAACTCATGGCGTTCTCACAGAGAGTAGGTCCTATACCAGGAGAGTACTGTGGACCTTCGACAGGCCTGGAGGGTCTCAATCATTTGATCAATACATCGTCCGACGTTCGACAAGGATGCTCTCTTATGGAGATGTGCTACTACGAATGGGATTGTGATTACACCGACTATACCGAGATGTGCGGTATGGAGACGGATGACAACGCAATCCAAGAGAGCAGGAACTGCGTGGTCGTTCCAATCAAGGCAAGAATTGCCAATGGAAAGTCGTTTGACCGAAGCGAGATGTGCCAACCGGATCTGGTAGAGTTGAACACCAGCCGCCGACCATCGTGGTCAATGTCACAGGCTCCATCATTGGCTCCCTCCCTGGCACCATTGCATCCTGTTGCCCCTTCTATTACGTGGACTGACGAAGACAGTTGCGTTGTAGCCACGCCGAAGAAGGAAAAACTGATGGCTTTCCTGAAGAGAGTGGGTCCAGTTTCGGGAGAGTACTGTCGACCCGAGACTGGCACGGAAACTTTCAATCCTGGGGTAACGGCTCCCGCCATGGACCTTTCTCAAGGATGCACCATTGAGGAGATGTGTTACTTCGAGTGGGACTGTGATTACACCGACTATACCGAGATGTGCGGTAAGGAAACAGATGACAACACAATTGAAGAGAGCAGGAACTGCGTGGTCGTTCCAATCAAGGCAAGAATCGCAAATGGAAAGTCATATGACAGGAGCGAGATGTGCCAGCCGGATCTGACAACCTTGAATACAAGTGCCCCTCCATCGCAGACTCCTTCTGAAGGAGGCGAAGAGAAAGCAGGCGACGAGAGCGGAGAGATTCGAAACTGGTATATGAAGTGGCAGCTATTCATACTCCTCGTGTGCGTGGTGTTTCACTAGAAAATTTTCGCTTCTACATAATGTAACATGAATTTACGTTTTCAACTTTACTGAGCGTACTCCACTTTTCCTGCGTTTTGAGAAGTCCGACTGTATCGGATAGTATATTGAAGTGCTTTTGAAAGTCATTTGGATCTTCACAGAAACTACCAGAAACATGGAATCTTTCGCATGTGCTCTCTGAATAGCTACTTGGTTTACAATACAAAATATATATAAAGTCCTCAATGGCATCACCGCATTTTGTCTTTTTAGATACAAAAGATGCTGTTTCAGGTCGAATCGGTCAAATCAATCGTCTGTCCCAATGCATGAGATGCATTTTTGTGTTGGACTTCGTCAATGGTCCACTGATTGATGTGTTCTCATCAATCGAGGGGTCATCGTTTTTGCTGTTGACAGTCATCATCATCACCACCATCAGCAGCGATATACTGGAAGCAGATACTTTTGCGCACAGAACATCAACATTTTATGTGCGAAGCAACATGAAGAGGAAGAAAAAAACATGAAGATTATAGCAACTCGCAACATGAAGAGGAAGAAAAAAACATGAAGATTATAGCACTCATTATCACAAATGGTGGAAAGTTAGAAAAATCTATTCTACAAGAGAACAAAAATCAAAAGGCATATTCAGATGCATTGATGGAATTCCAAACCAGAGACTAGTGACAGGATTGTCTGTAAAGGGACTTGAGAGACAGTCAAGGACACTAGACAATAGAGTTGTAATAGAGATAGGATTGCTATTCTTATTGATGATAGTTCATGAAAGTGAGGATTGCTCTGAACTTGAGCAGAGGATCCAGCAGTAGATACACATAGAGAGTAGTATATAGAATTTGGGAGAAGAACTGAGGTGTCAAATGATCGTGAGAATTACCCAATCAGAGTAAGCCACCAGTCCAATCTATTGGACTTGTGGTGCAATTTGTTTGACCTCAACACTCCCTCTCAATCAAACAGTGAGGTATGTAACATGAATGAAGAGTAATATGCTTACCATCCGCAGAGTAGTTTTTGAGTGGCACGGAACTTGTCCAAGGTAAGTCCCTTTGTGAGAATATCGGCCTTTTGAGCTTCTGATTCGATATATTTGAGCTACCGTCTTGAAAACTCTTCGTAGAGGTAAGATATCACTCATTGCCATAGACAGCGCATTATATTCCGCTTCCATAGTGGCAGTGGCAATTTCTGTTTGTAGTCTTGACACCCAAACCACAGGGCATCCACAGACTGCGATGACATATCCAGTTCTGGACTTGACGCATGTAGGATCCATAACATCTTCAACTGAATAAAGACCCAAAAAATCCGCATTGAAATGACATTCAATGTCAAATGAATCGGTCGGTCGCAAGATTGGGCCTTCATTTACTGATGATTTCAAATATTGCCCAATTCTGATGAGCGCTTTTTTGTGAGAGCGCTTATTCCCGTGGATGAATTGCGCACATTGGGACACGGCAAATTGTATGTCCGGACAAGATTGTCCGCACAGATACAAGGCCATTCCGATCATGCTTGCATATGAGAAACTGTCATTTGCAGGATCTCCATTCTTGTCTTTTCTAAGGGGTTCTTTCAACGCAGGAGTGTGCTTCTGAGGTTCATGGTCAAGATTGTCCGCACAGATACAAGGCCATTCCGATCATGCTTGCATATGAGAAACTGTCATTTGCAGGATCTCCATTTTCGTCTTTTCTAAGGGGTTCTTTCAACGCAGGAGTGTGCTTCTGAGGTTCATGGTCAATTTTGAGGGCTTCAATGATCCGTTTGGTTAGTCCTTTTTGCGTAAGTTTGATCCTTTTGTTGGATTTGTCGCGTTTGATATGGACTCCAAGAAATCCAGCAACAGAATCTTCAATTTCCACTGCAACACCTTGACTTTTCAAACTCTCAATTGCTTTGTTTATGTACTCTTCTTTAGGACTGAAGAATATTGTGTCGTCAACATGAAGAAGGCAGATAACTTTATCTGAAATGAAAAGACATGGATCAACTTCTTCTTGAGATTTGAATCCTGTATTTTCCTTCCCTTTGATGAAATTGAAGAAATTAACAGGCGATTGCTTGAGCCCATAGAGGCTTTTGTTGAGTTTCAATATCTTTCCTTCCTTAGCAAAGCCTGTGGGCATTTCACAGAAGACTTCCTTGTCTCCTATGGGTACATGAGTGAAGGCTGCGGTGTCATCAACTTGCTTAGTTTCGAGTCCCAGTACAAGGGATAGAAGTAGGAGGAGGCGGACTGTCTGCCAAGAGATGACAGGTGAGAATATTTCATTAGAATTGTAATCAATCCCATCTTTCTGTCAATCATCTCTCACACAGAACTGTCCTTTCAATTTTCGAACTTTTCCATCTGGATATCTTTTACATTTGAATGCCCATGTTGAGGGAAGGACATTCATTGATTGAAGTCCGGGAACCACTTCCCAGACCTCCATTTGCTGTAGGGTCTCGATCTCCTTGATTGCTGCTTCCATGTAACCATCGGCTAGACGACCGTTCATAGCTTCTTCCCACCCTAGATTATCTGCGGAATTGGCTTTGGCGGCCAGGATCATTGGATGAAGCCATTCACAGGTCTCTGAATCCTGGTCAAAGTCGGTGGTTAGTGCCCACATCTTGGCAAATTTGTTGGAGCAAAGTGTCTCAACAAATTCATTGAACTTTAGAGAAGCAAGAAAACCCTTATTGATGGTGGCATGTCTCACATTTTGATTTAGAGCATGTAGGCTATACTTCCTTGGCCTGAATTGGCGTCTTCGCTTGTTCTTGTAGGTTTTGTAGAGTTTGATTAAGAGTTTCATCTTCTTCTATAGCTTGATTAGGAATAGGAACGTCTGTAGGAACATTTAATTGTTCTTCCTGTTGAACATTCTTGTCTTCAGCTACTCCCTCTGGAACTGACAAGTCATCATTGTCATCAGCTTCGATTGCTTCGGTCATTGGCGACTTCATATCGATTATCTTGAACATTCCTGTCTTCCTGAGGCTGGTTGTGAACCGGTTGCACATGAGGTATTGGCGGTTGGTTGACAGGTAGCAGAGGAATTGGAGGTTGCACTGGCACCGGAGGCGCATGACCACCATTATTACCCCCTGGAAGCGGAGCTTGGTGGCGAGGTTGGATGGCTTGTTGGTGGAGGCGGGCGGGACGACGATTGTTGATGAGGGTTTGACTTTGGAGGCAAACGGCACGTTCAGTTGGAGTTAGCCATTCATCTTGTAGTGGCAGGGCAATAGGGCGCCCTTGAGCATCACGGTCAAGAGTACCACAAAAGTTCTTGTACCCAGATTCAACCAAATTGAACTAATGGTTGGCATCAAGTTGGTGAGGATTGGCCGCACCCCCTGCATCTGAGTTGGGAACAGTACTTAAGTGGTCGTCGCACACAAAATGATATTGTGGTTAGACATGTTGGGCTCGACGGTTCAGGATTCGCGCGACTGAGGAGGAGTGGTCAGGTGAATAGCCAAGATACATTCCGGGTCTTGACCAAGGATTCCACTTAGGAAGCTTCTTGCTATCTTGAAGTTTGGATCAAGGACATTGGTAGGACATCCAACAACGTGAAGGCAATGTGAGAGTTGTAGTTGGGGAACGTTGATTGGCTGAAGATTGCCAGTGGTGCTAACTAAGTGTCACAACGCGGAAGGTTGTTCCAGATGTATGCTGCATATTCCATGGCAAAGGGCCATAGGTGGACGTCCGCTCCGTCAGGCCAGTGAATTACCTGGTGAAGAAGCATGGTCCAAGCCCACTTAGCAAGCGTTTGAATTGCACGTTTGGCGACTGCATTCTGATGAAGAGCCCCAACACCGCTGAAATCAACTGTCTGCTTCTTCAAGGCGAGATTATGTTGCCAAGTTGCAGAGTTGAAGGGCGTGTGATCTGCTCGATAACTCTTGATATCCGGTATGTTGTTGGCTTTGCAGTCAGAGATTTGCCTGCTCAAAGAGAAACTTGATTAGCATGGTCACAAAAAATAGTACCCCCTGAGTACTAATTCTTCTTTGTTTCTTTTCCTTTGGTGTGTGGCAATCTGCCAGGTATATAGGAAACGTAGCTATTGATGGAAACTTTGGCACCCGGTGTCAGATCTCCCTCTCGAATAGCCATCTCCTGATCATCAAAGGCATGTTGTGATTCAGGAGTTTGTCGTGCTTGCTTGCCAAGTTCACAAGCTTGCTCCTTTATGGCGACATGGTAAGATTGCGTCTTGATTCGGATCATTAGGTTGTGCTAGGAGACACTGTATCCATTTGAAGTGAGCATGCCCAAGCTTGGCTTTTTCACCAGCGGTAAGATTTTGATTGTTTTCAGCTCCAACTGACAACATTCCTAACACATCTTGTTCTCCTCAGAGCATGTTGGCTTCTTCAAAGCCTAGTCCAGCGCAATGGGCACTTGCGTCCAACATCATTGGAATATTTTTTGATTGGAATGGAAACTCAAGTTCCGATTCGTCGGCGAGCGTGAGGACAACTTTGCGGTGGTTCAAGAAAAGGGAACCAGCTCCCTTTGTCTCTTGGAAGTAGC